TGTAATACATAGTGATGTTAGTGTTAGTAAGGCCTTGTAGTAGATAGAAAGAAGTTTAATGTTGAAAGACTTTATAACTTTGTTAAAGTGACTTAGAAGTACTCCTTTGTTCCATTGTTTGTGCGAATGAGAGAGAGAATGTTTTAGGATAGATAAGTGTGAAGGCCACTGCATGCTCAAATGGTCAGAGGAGGGGCTGAAGACTCAGAAGCACCAAATAATTATCAACTAAGTGAAAGAACTCAGAAGACACAAACTACTGGGGCATACTGAGGAACCCTGAAGCTAAAGGCAAGCACCCCTTGATAGGGAACCAATCACAACTTTTGCCGGAAAGACAACACCCCGGAGGGGTTGTCAGCATACTGATATCAGATGACTGTGAGAACAACTTTCTCCCAATAAGCACATGTTGTAGGAAGATTGATTGTGATGCTAAATGGCTGATTAAGGCCTGCCAAGGCAAAATGCATAGACTTGCATGGAAGGAAAATCCTATAAAAGATGGGGTGCCTTGTATGGTTCTTTGGGTTCTGTCCTGCTAAGATCAAGAGTAGGAGGGGCATCAGTCCAGACTGACATGAACCTGGCTCCTACCATGCACCTGACCTATATGGCTAATAGGCTGGGCTGAGCAACAGACTGGTAACTATTCCAGCAGCGCACGCGCATGTAAATCTATATGCTAATTTGTTATATTGTCAATAAATGCGGCATGTTGCCTTATCCCCCTGAAAAAGATCCTGTGTGCTTCTTATAAGCATAACACCTACCCCACATCATCTTAATTGCAGTAGACCCAGATGCCCTTGCCCAAAAATATCTCTTCTGGTTTTGATTCTACTAGCAGGAAGTGATCCAAAAGTGGGAACAATTCTGAATGGATATGTTCTATACCATATCCTTTTAATCAGAGTGCATCTGTATTATACACAAGGACATTATTTAAGAGATTATTTTTCAGTGAGTTAAATATTTTGGTAAGATACTGAAAAAGTAATTTCAGTTTCCACGCTGGGATGGAAAAATCAAACCTTTTAAAAATTAAAATGTTTCAGGTTCAATTAGTAACAATGCAATGCAGATTATTTTTGCAGTTAATCATATGCTGAATTAAGGTAAATGCATCATCAGTTGGATCTGGAATGAATGCTCCCTCATGCTGGGGAGAGAGAGGGGGAGAGGTGGCGTGCCATGGTCTGGGGCAATGTGGAGGGCTGGCTACCCCTTGCCCCAACCCTTCTGTTCAAGGTCCTGCCCCTTCTGGGAACACAGAGCTGGGTCCCTCCCCAGCTTGTCCAGCATCCCTGGGTGTGATAGAGAGAGGAGACAGATAATTCCACATCTAAGGAAGAATGATCAAGTGGTTAGAAGACTAGGCTTGGGTAAAGGAGACCCAGGTTCAATTCTTTGTTCTGCCATAGGTTTCCTATGTAATCTTAGGTCTTTTTTCCATGACACAAATAATCACCTATAAAATAGCACTCTTTTCTGCTGAACAGGGCTATTAATGCAGTGCTCATACTGTATAATTTGGCCAAGTAAGGACAGAACTCCATGGGTCAGATAAGTTTCCCTTTCAGGATGGTCAAGAAGAATGAAATTGAAGGCAATTTATTTGGTTTAATCTTTAACACTGGAATTGTTAAAAGAGCCTAAAGGTGTTTGTCACCCAACGCCCACTGAAACTATTTTAGGCTCCTTTGACAATCCCAGTCTTAAAGATAATCTCTGATTATATTTCAACAGATACTAGTTAACTTTTTATGGCCAAAGGAAAAGGTTAATATAATTTACAGTTGGAAAATATTCAATTTTTTATACCACGGTTACAAGGATTATTATTATAGTTCAGTAAATAATTATTCATATCACCATCACTCTTCCCAACCACACAAGTGATTCAAGTAACAAACAGTACTTCAAAAATCAACACCAGATTATTTCCCAATATAATATATTGTCACTAGATGGCAATAGATTGCACTGACTCACTTCAGGAGAAACCCAGATTTTCTTTGTTTATTAATTACATCGGAAAACAAAAAGCTTCAAAACTGAATGATACATTTTACAATGAGTAAAAAGGTGAAAAATATTCCTTTAGAAATGTATTACATACAACTGATATCTCTTACAGATATCTGAAGCAGTGTATAATTAGTTTTCTCAAAAACACTTAACCTCAATCATTATTTGAAGAAATAATTTGTTGTCAATTCAAGCAGAAGGCAAAAATGGAATATCTGTATTGTTTGTTATTCAGATTGTTTTAACATTTAGGAAAATTTAAAACAAAAAATAAACAAGAAGCCATTTTACCTCTCTCGGAGGGTTTGTGACATATACAGTTCACATTCTGTCATAATTTTTATGGCAATATGACTTATGTTTGACTGTTACTCTAAAAAAGTCTGACTCTGATAAGGCAGTTCTTGAAAGTTATATGCATCATGGGAAAACACATGCAACATATTCAAGGGTGTGTTTAATACCCAGAATGGCTATGTTGGGGATTCAATGGCAATATATATTGTCATGTGGGAAATCAGAATTCTGGAAATCATCTTGGAATTCTAGTTTTCTAGATTGAGAATTATAATACAGATGATGAATACATTTGTTTTTAGAGAAATCCAGGAAGAATGAGTTGTAGTGCTCTTGAAACAACAAAATCAGAAACAATGATGGCCAGCCTAAAAGTTGGGAGTTCACTTCTTTATCTGGATATTTTTATACTCCAGTTTAGCTTTAAATTTGGGATGGAATCTCAGTGGGTTTTTTTTCATCTATATTTCAAAAAGGAGAGTTTCTTGAAAACTGTTTCTCAGGAATCTTATTCAAAACAAAGATTTGTTTGTTTTAAAGACAGAATGTAGCTTCCTTCTGACCACTCAGATTGACTGTGCTATTTTTATTCATGTAAGAGAATTGTGCTGATTTCACTCTATTCTGAATATGTATTTCCATCTCCTGGGATCCTCATAAGAATAGAATGCTATATTTTAAGGCAGTTTCGGGGAACCTGACACTTCCATACCTGTATATTATTTGAGATATTATTTCACTGTTAAAAATACCAAGAAAAGAAGCCTTATAGAAAGCCAACTTCAGGAATGATGTTGGGCAACTAGGATCATAAAAATGGCCATCCTGGGTCAGACCAATGGTCCATCTGGTGCAGTATCCTGACTACAGACAGTGGCCAATGCCAGGTGCTTCACAAGTCTAAGGCCGGGGTTGGCAATAATTTTTCGTAGGGGGTCACTCAAAGTTTTTGTTGAATGGTCAAGCACCGCACTTTTCTATGTAGGAAGTGCGTGGTCTAGGATGGAGGCTGGGTACAGAAGGGTGCATGGGTAAGGGACTGGGGTGCAGGAGACTGTGTGGTATCTGAGAGGGTATTTGGGTGAAGGTAGGGGTTATGACCTGGGGCAGAGGAATGGGGTGCAGAGTCTGGGAGGGTACTTAGGTGCAGGACAGGATTCTGGCCCGAGGGAAGGGACTAGGAGTGGGTACAGAGTCTGCGAGGGAGTTGTGACCTGGGGCAGCGGGGGTGCAGAGGATTTGGAAGGTGACTTGGGGGAGGGAATTGGGGTGAGGGAGGAGCAGGAGTGCCAGAGGTAGGCTCTGGCTGAGAGGAACTTACCTAAGCATCTCCTGGCCTGCAGCACCCCCAAGGCAGCTGGGCTCTCTGCCTGCTACAGACCCAGACCGCTTGAAAATACATGCTGTTCCCTCCACATGGCTCTCAACTCCAGGTAGGGGAAGAGGCTTGTGCTGCCCCTGGCTCCCAGGCCAATCTCTCAGCTGCGACTGCCTGGGTGTTTCCAGCCAATAGGAGCTGAAGATTGGACTGAGGGCAGGGAGATCAGACAAAGCTTCCCCCCTCCCTGCAGAGCAGAGAAACATAAGGACTGCACTTTAAACCGTGGCAGCCGCTGCCTGAGAATCCTGGCAAGGTGGCCTGCAGGCCAGATCCAGTGGCTTGGCGGGCTGGATCTGGCCCCTGGGTGGTATTTTGCCTAGTCCTGGGCTAAGGAAACCCAGAGCATGGGATTGCATCCATGACAATCTTGGCTATACCCATTGATAGAGCTATCCTTCAGTAACTTATCGAATACTTTTTTGAATAATTACAGTTTTGGCCTTCACAACATCCCCAGCGATGCTGTAAAGGTCAAAACTATAACAAGGTTCAACACTAGGAATATGGAGATGTTCAGAGCCTGGTCTGCGAGAAATTATACTGCTGACAATGTTATGGTAGGGCTTTTGATGTTAACTGATCCATAAAGCAAGCTTAAGATCTGGGTTGAGGCAGTCCATAGCTCTTGCCACAAGCTTAGCATGGTGGCATCCCTATTCCCAGAGCAATAAGGTCTAGTTTAGAAGAAATTTGTTGTTCCCTCTTTCTGAATGCAAGAAGCTAAGAATGTTGCACAAATTGGAGTAGGATGGCTTACAAGAGGGGGAAGAACAGACAAAAAACAGCCTACTCCTCTCAGACTGTTCCTTCTTTTGCATCTATTTGAAACTCCAGGATCAGAATCTTGCTACACAGATATATAGACAAGGCAGAAGATACACTTGGATGTTTCTAATCTGTCACACACAAAGCCTACAGTATGATTACTGTGTGTAACTAGAGTAACATTCATAGTACATAGCTTGAGAAAGACAGCATATAATTGGCTTTAATTACAGTATTTAGTTAAGTGTTTGAAAAATTCAATTTAAAAATGCAAATTCTGTATTGTTATTGCATGTGCTCTGAAATGATTTCAGGAAAAATAAGTGGAGAGACGGTCCTGAAGAACACTGCTGCATGTGGTTATCTATTAAATAAGTAATTACTAAGTCTAATTAATTCTTCACTAAGCTAAATCTTATACAGTCAAAAGTCTTCCCCTATCTATGCACCAATAATTCTCTTGCACTTTCTCTGTCATTCTATTCTAGTATGTACGGTAACTCTGCAGTTATTGCCACCCACGTACCTTCATCATTAGCAGACAGTTTGCCATGGAGTACATCACCCGGCCTAGACGTGACCTCCACAGCTCAACAGAGGCTACAAAATAAGAGCATATTGTGAATGTGCACAAATAAATTAGAGGTTCTTTCTAGTCATCAATTATTGGTCCTATGAATTCTGATTTAAAAGATCTTCCTTGTTAACATCAGTGGGATTTAGCATAGAATTTTTAATTCTTTGCCACACCGCACTGTCAGCCAGAAAATACTGCCTCTCTCAGAGGGACTAGTTTGACTGATTTTAGGAACAGAGTATATGCATAAATGATGCAACAGACAATTTCTCTGCTTTAGTTCAGGCAACATATTAAATACTAAAAGAAGCCACACATTTTTTTAATATTAGAACAAAAATAGATAGAACATCAAAATAATTACCACCATCAGCATACAACTGTGTAATTCATGGGATTAAATTTAATAAACTAAAAATACAAACATAGCTAAAAATCTCATCTCAAAGCCAGAATATACAGGGTCAGAGCTCACTAAGTCGGGGGATATTTGTGTTTGCCTCTGGCTTAGTGATAAGGTGGAAAAATCTACTGATCTTTTCTGTCTGCTTTGCGCTCTGGAGTGTGCAGGTTTGGCAGCAGCAGCAGATTTCTCATTCTCTTGGTTTGAGAAAGATTCATGATGCTGCAAGAGAAAAGTTCAAATAGATCCTTATTTATCCACTGTTACAGGGACCACAGCTCAATAAAGCCCTGAAAATCTGTGGATATCTGCTTTATATCTGCTGACCATGTTTGTGGATCATGGGCTGTATGGATCAGAACGAGAAATAAAATTGGTCTTCTGTCGCTCAAAAATAGAACTTAGGGCTATTAATTTGGTACATGATTGATTTTGAATTAATTATTTGAAATCAAGTATTATGGCTTATCCTGACAATCAACTCTCAAAATCACTGCACTGAGGTTGGAGAGACAGGAAAACAAAACAGGGGTTTGCAATACAAAAGTGCAACCCACTGTCTGTTCTTTGGCAGGAATAAAGGGGTCTGTTATAAAAAAAACCATGAAGGTTACAGAGTTAATTTTTTGTAATGATTTACTAATGCCATTACAATTAATAAAACCATGGTGAGACAGGTACAAAATATAACTGTTCTAAGTGCATTAAAAATTGAATGCAGTTTTGTCTCCAAGATTGGACCTGGTATTTAATTTATAATAGCTTCCTCAGTAATAGCCCTTATATCATTCAGCAGTACGAAGTCATATTTTAGATATTTTCCACCCCAAGTTCATCTAAAATATGTGGTGACATTACTGAAGAGTGCCTTGCATACAGTGAGAGGACATTTTACCCCATGTTTCCTACCCTTTGTTTCTTTCTGAGCCCACAGCAGAAACAAGGCAGTGTTTAGTAACTCTTTATTATTCCAAATTATGATAACATACTATTTTTGAAGCAATTTTACGTTTGTAAAGTGCATATCCTGATTTTTTTTATGCTTATGCTAAGTTGCTAAATGGTAATATAAAAAAAAATCAGGGGTTACATTAGGCATGTAACAGTGTAGTCGATTAACCAATAAGCAAAAGCTTATAGGTTAATGCTAGAGACAACACGTATTTCCCCCCCCCCCCTTACACCCATTGTCAGTAAATTTTTAGCAGGCTTGTACAGAGTCTGGACCTACTCCTGTTGTGGCTCTGCATTTAAAGTGTATTAAGAGCCAGGCAGGCAGCCCGGCTCAGTTCCGATTTGTGCCAGGTCCAGGAGCTCAGACCACCCCGCACTCCGGACAGGGGCTACTGCCACTCTGCACTGCTGATTTTTAAACTGGCTCCTCTCACAGACCAGCTCCCACTTGGCATCCCATGCTGCTGCCTCTGATACAGAGGCAGCAGCATGGAGTGGCAGTGGGCTTCTTGGGTGTGCAGCCAGAGAGCACTAGCTGCTGGCTCCTCCCCTGGGGACTACAGAATAGTCAAGTAACCAATAAGAATTCATGAGGTTAATTGACTATTCAATTTACCGTTATTAAATATCCCTAGGTTACATTAGTCTGAGGTCAAGTTAGTTGATTAAACCATCATGTAGCTTGTATCATATTTCAAATGTATTTAAAAAAGGAACACATTTGATTATAGCTTATTGTTTTGTGTTGTGTCATAACTTGGTTAGAAAGAACATTTCCTGTTGTTGCTGGCACTATTGAGATATGTATGTTCTAGCCAGGACAGGCACAGAGCAAAGTAAAATCAGCAGCTAATGAGAACTTTCAAATATGCTGGAAATTGTTACCTTGTTGTCTGCGTGCATTTCTACAGCTCCTCAATACACAGCAGACACTGAGCAGTTACAGCTCAGGCTCAGTAAGTCATAAGGCTAAACAAATATGCAAGATGTATTAAAAGGACACTCAGGAGGGATTCTTATTGCTAGAAGCAAGACATTAAAGAATGACATGTAAAAACAAAAAATAGAAACCCAACACCTGATGATTATTATCTGTATGTCGGTAGTAGAAATAACTCACTTTGCAAGCCTTTGCTGCCACACTATCCTTCTGAACATTCCTTCTTAATGGCTATTAATTTAGGCTTTGATTGCACAATGGATCTTCCCGTCACAAACGGCGTCAAGCAAGGGTGCGTGCTGACACCGACCCTGTTCAGCATAATGTTTTCAGCCATGCTGTCAGACGCCTTTCAGAACAGTTCCTTAGGAATCAGACTGAGATAAAGGACTGATGGGAAACTGTTTAACCTGCAAAGATATGTCGGTAGTAGAAATAACTCACTTTGCAAGCCTTTGCTGCCACACTATCCTTCTGAACATTCCTTCTTAATGGCTATTAATTTAGGCTTTGATTGCACAATGGATCTTCCCGTCACAAACGGCGTCAAGCAAGGGTGCGTGCTGACACCGACCCTGTTCAGCATAATGTTTTCAGCCATGCTGTCAGACGCCTTTCAGAACAGTTCCTTAGGAATCAGACTGAGATAAAGGACCGATGGGAAATTGTTTAACCTGCGAAGACTCCAGGCTGTCACCAAGATAAAAGAGACTGTGTTACGAGATCTCCTTTTTGCTGATGACTGCGCCCTGAATGCTGGATCAGAGCAGGAAATGCAAGCCAGCATGGACAAATTTGCAGCAGCATACGACAACTTCGGCCTTCTCATCAACACAAAGAAAACCGAAGTGATGCACCAGCCAGCTCCAAAAGCTCAGCATCAAGTGCCCACCATCACAGTGAAGGGACAAAAGCTGCAAGCAGTGGACCAATTTACATATCTTGGCAGCACCCTCTCCCGCTCAGTGACAATTGACATCGAGGTCAACTGCAGAGTCGCCAAGGCAAGCTCTGCATTCGGCAGACTGTTGACCAAAGTGTGGGACCGCCGTGGAATAAGCCTTGCTACAAAGCTTAAAGTCTATCGAGCAGTAGTCTTAACTACCCTGATGTATGCCAGTGAGACTTGGACTGTATACAGGAGGCCATGCTAGGCAACTGAACCACTTCCACACGATTTGCCTCCGCAGACTTCTGAGGATCCGGTAGCAGGATAAGGTGCCAGACACAGAAGTCCTTTCTAGAGCAGGCCTGCCGTCAGTTTACACCCTGCTGAGGAAAGCCCAGACACGCTGGGCAGGCCATGTTGCAAGGATGCCAGATCATCGCATCCCTAAACAGCTCTTCTATGGTGAGCTGTTTCAAGGGAAGCGATTGCATGAGGGACAAAAGAAGCGATACAAGGATACGGATCAATTAGAAATCGGAGTGTGAGTGTGATTGCTTTGTGGTGCTGGCAGGAGAAAAGCGGACTGCTCAGGTGTAATCATCCCTTCTCTATTGATTGCAGCATGCGTCACCAGTACAGAAGTGTGGGAGGTGCAAGCCTGCCTTACAATCAAATCGGCAGCCTTCCGGGAGCCGAACAACACCTCCTGGGGGAGGCTTTCTTTCTTTTCCCTTTTAAAAAAAAATAAATACATAACATAAAAACAGGAGAGGGAACAAATGTTCCCAACAACACAAAGGTCCTCTTCGAATACGATGGACGAAAAACAACAACAACAACAACAACAACAACCCCATATTGTACAATGGTTCTATGCTCTGACCCGCTATTCATTTCAATGGGAATTCTGTGCGTGGTGCAGATGCAGACTTAGTTCCTTATAGGAAACAAACATGCTGCCAAGCAAATGGTGCAGAGCTAAATCTCTCCTCCTACTGAACAATTTGAAAATGTGATGTTTTGCTCCACACTAGAGAAGATGCATGTAATGGGCTGGTTGGTACAGCACCTACTCACACTGGCAATAAGGAAATTTCTCCCCAGACATAATCAATTATGGTTGTCTTTAGCCACAGTTAAAAAGGTTTGTTTCAGCTACATTTTGCACAGAAATATGAAGCTTCCTGCAGTGGCGGGGGCAAGTAGGGAACAGAGCTGTCAGGCAAGAGCAGCCAACAGTCCCTGCAAGCATCCCCAGGGCCCTTTGGCAGTGTTAGGCAGTCAGTTGTACTACAAACACAGCAGCATCTCTCCCAGCTGCTCAGCAACTCCCTCCCCTGGTTCTTGCTGACTGCCTCTTTTCTAGCTCTGGGGATGGGACTAGTACGTAGCTAGGAAGAAAGCTCTGTAGTATATGATGAAAAGCAGTAAGCCTTTCAGAGGGGAGGGTGGAAATTGGCAAGATTTGGGGAAAGTGAGGAGGGAATCCATGCAGGAGAAAAGCCAAGGTGTGGAAAAAAAGTGAAAACCTATGACGGGAACCAGGTACGGGGGAGGGAAGAGAGAGAACACAGAGCTGGATAAAAAGAGAAGGAGCTGGATTTTTTCAAATATTCTAAGAAAATGGGATGTGTTGGGTGGGGACCGTGTGTAAATTTTTGTGAATGATTAAGTATTCCTCTCTGCTCTTTTGCCTTTTCCTTCTCATAAAAAAGTAAATTTACTATTTACCAGAATGCAAGTATCTGGCTGCTAGGTGCTTCCACATGCCCCTTGTTCACCTTAATAAGCCTTAAGCTTATGTAGAAATTTGTCTAAAGCAAAATTTCACATTGGTTGGCAACAATATCCATACAAACTGATTTATTCTCTTCCCACCCCTATGGCAGACACTGATTTCCAAGACACTGTATAGGAAAAGTTTCCTAAGGAAATGTTAACCAGGTTAATCACAGTTGTTGGCAGTTGCAGAAAGGCTTCTGGCTTCTCATGATAGCATTTTACATGCTCACCAGGCATGGTGAGGGGTTCATCTGCCCCATTAGAGTGCCTAAACACTCACATCAGGTAAAATTTTAAGGAGCACTTAAATGACTTAGATGCTTACATCCCATTTTTCAAAGAAGATAACGAGGGCTTCTACTTTGAAGAACAAAATACCTAGCCCATGCATGATGATCCCCTCAGTCCCATGCAACTTGAAAGCTGGCAGAATGTACTGAGCAACCTTACAGATTTATTGGAACAGATACCTCAAGGAAAGGACAATGAAAGTGGCAACTCTATAAGAGTGACCTAGGCTTGGCTCCACAAAGGGACTGTAACTCTCAGCATTGTAATGTTTAACTTGTAGGCACTTTGAAAATCCACAGAGCCTAAATTAAGCTTCTAGAATCCTTATATAAGACATGATGAGAGATAGGCATCTAAGAATGGGGTTCACAAATGTGGCATATTTGGCAGAGAGCCATCTAAGCTAGCCAATGGAAGAGGCTGACAAGAGGGTTGTGTCATAAGATGCACTCCCCTGACAAACCTAGGTACCTAAGTCAGGGAGACGCCTACATCTGCTTGCAATCCCTAGGCTGGGAACCCTCTCTGCTGTCAGATGACTCAAGCTCCTAAATAATACTTGCAAGATATGCTGCAGGTGGTGATGGTACCTCCCTTATAATTTTTAGTTCACTGGTTAGAACACTTACCCAGGATGTGAAAAACTTGGGTTCAAATCCTCTTTTTAATGGGGCAAAAGAGTTTAAGGAGGGGCCTTGCACCTCTCACAAAAGTGCTCTAGCTGTGGAGTTAAGGGATAGTTTGATGTCAGGTTCCCTCAGTCTCTCCTGTTGAAACTGTTCCATGTATACATATTAACATAGTCAGAGCCAGAGAGAGAAAGTCTGAATGAGAGTAGGCTACTGGTTAGGGTACCCTAGGCTACTGATTAGGGTACCCACCTGCGATGTGGGAGATTCAGGGTCCAATCCACCTGCTCCAATCACTGTTTCATGATCAATCCAACTTCATTACAGGTTGAACCTCTGTAATCCGGATTTCCCTAGTCTAGCAACAGCCTTGGTTTGGCATCATCAGTAACCCTGTGAGAGCACTCATGGGACAAACTGGTGGACCAGGGTCAAGAGTGTTTCCAGACTAGAAGGCCAGGAGAAAGCAGAGCCTTGGGCAGGCACTGACTGCTCCTGGTCTCGCAAATTCCCTGGTTTGGGACTGATCAGGGGTCAAGAGTACCAGACCAGGGAGGTCTGACCTGTAGGAGACATTAAGGGTACTCCACATCATAATATCCTTTAGCTCAGGGGTGGGCAATAATTTTTAGTGAGGGGCCACTCCAAGATTTTGGAAAGTGGTCAAGGGCCGCACTTTTCTGTGGAGAGGGAACGGGGGGTCTAGGGTGGAGGTTGGGTTCAGAAGGGCACATGGGGTCAAGGACTAGGGTGGAGGAGATGGTGTGGGGTCTGAAGGAAGGAGTTGTGACCTGGGGCAGGGGAATGGGGTGCAGGGTCTGGGAGGGTACTTGGGTGTAGGAGAGGTTTCTGGGGGAGGGTGTAGGAAGGGGTACAGGGTCTGGGAGGCAGTTGTGACTTGGGGCAAGGGGGGTGCAGAAGGTTTGGAAAGTGACTTGGGAAAAGGAGTTGGGATGGAGGTGCCAGAGGTAGGCTCTGGCTGGGAGACACTTACCTAAGCATCTCGTGGCCTGCAGCACCCCCAAGGCAGCCTGGGCTCCCTGCCTGCTGCGCCTCCAGAGCATTGAAAATGCAGCCTGCTCCCTCCACCTGGCTCTCAGCTCTGGGATGGGGAAAGGCTTGCACCGCCTCTATCCCCCAGGTCAATCTCTTAGCTTCCATTGGCTGGCTGTTTCTGGCCAAGAGGAGCTGAGGATTGGGCTGGAGGTGGGGAGATCACATGAAGTCTCCTCCTTCCTCCAGGGCAGAGAGTCACACAGAGCAGCTCTGCATTTAACTCGTTATTATTCCGAATTAAATAAGGAGGGGCGTCTGTGGGCCAGATCCGGTAGCTCGGTGGGCCGAATCCAGCCTTCGAGAGGTATCTTGTCCACCCTTGCCTTAGCTCAATGGTTAGAGTACATTTTTGAGATGTATGAGACCCTTGTTTGCATTCAGTATCCCAATCAAACAGAGAGGGATTGAACCTAGGTCTCCCACATGCCAGGCAAGTGTTCTAATGTTATAAGAGAGCACCACCACTTTCCCCCTCCTAGAAGCATCACCATCTAGTAAGCATGCGCTCAGTACACTTAACAGACTGGGCCCAGCAAGAGAGAGACATTTCTACCAACTATATTCCGCTAATTGGAGGCTCCTTCTGGGGATTAGATATCTGGATGCCATGAGTGAGGAGTTGTACACATGCACTGAGGCAAAATCTTTGGTGTCTTGGGAACTTTTAAAGCAAACATTTAAGTGTCATGTGAATTTAAGGTTAGGTGGCAGCTAAACAAAGTTTTACAGATTATAGTAGAGTTTAGGCACCTAAAGTCTCTTTGGGATGCTATTGCCCAGATCTTCATGTATCATTTTCAGTGAGTCTTAGGCTCTTAAATGCCTAAGACATTTTATAAAATGTTCTCTCTCATCTTTACCTATGTTTTTCCTTTTCTCCATTCCCTCCCACCCCATGTGCTTAAAGTTACTATAAGACTGTGAAAAACAAAGATTATAAGGGAAAAAGGAATACTGCTATCAGGATTCTCAAAACTCACTCCTCTTTCTTCTTGCCTTATGATCTTGAATAAATAAGTTAATTAAAGGAAAAGGATAAAGGAAAATATCTCCCATAAATGTTAAATCAAAATTGGTTAATGAAAGCAAAAGACCATCAAATTAATATAATCTGCTGGGACCAATAGGGAAGGAGGGAAAATTTGGATCTAAAGAAGTTTTTCAAACTTCAAGGGAGAAGATTAATGGCAGCAATGAGCCTCTTCACACAGAATGCCCACCTGCTTTATCTCCAATACCTCAGAAATGCATTGTTTTACCCGGACACCCGTCACTATGAATGGCAGCCATGTTCTTTGGTTCTTCAAATTACAAAGGAGATTTGATTTAATGCATCAATTTGATCGAAATAAATGTGAAATGAATTCCAGCAAATAAAAGTACAAAGTGTATCATTTCAGAGTCCGAAGAGATTATAATTGACAAAAATACTTTAACAACTTTGGGCAGTCTTGTGAAAACTTTTGGCATACCTGGGCAAGTGATACAAATACAAGGCCATGAAAAGAAATTTAAAGAATACCTACCTTGTCTGTTCTCTTGCGTAATGTTAATCATACTTCCATCTTCTGCTAAGCCATGCTCCAAATTTTCTAATATCTGTTGCAATTAAAAAAAAAAAAGAGTTTAAACAGGCATTCTGAAATTAGGCAGCATTTTACATTATATAAAAGTTATCTATAGTTCTCGTAGTCTGCATGTAAATCGATTCCAACAGGAGTGTTTCACATGGACAAATTTCTAAATCACTGATTATTACTATAGCCAGGTCACTCATGAACAGAGAGTCTTTGTATTGTAGTGCTGATCTCAGAGCTCAGGTTGAAGACACTCACAAAGCATTACAAGACAGCATACACCAGGAACATATGCATTTTGTTAAACAAAATATCAAATATGCTCCAAAGGTCAGTGATTATTAGTTCTTGCAAAAATGTCAAACTGATTCCAGAAGAGCAGAGGATTTTTAAAAATGAATTTTTATGTATCACATATATTCATTGATGCTGTATTTTTAAAAGAATTTGCCCTCTTTGTTTTTAATAATAATCCTTCTAACTCTCATTCCATTTCTTTCCCAGAGTTGGCTTTTGTTGCTGTTTTTTTATTTATTAGAGATTTTAAATAATGTAAGCTAGGAAATGAGTGGAAAATTATGTTTGTTGGATTATCTGTAGAATGAATATGTATAACTATTAGAGCTTGTGGCTTAAAATGTCAAAACTTTGAAAATATATCCTAGAGTTTCATTTGTAATGTAAGCCAGTCCCACTATGTCATATTCAAATACCTCTCTGACTCCTGAAGATCACCTGATTTTTGCTGCTTCCCATTCTCTCATCCACTGCATTTCAGTTTCATCTTATTTGTCACAGTAGATTGAATGGAACTCCCTTAAGAGCCTGTTAAGCCATTTACTCTTTAATTAGCTGCTAGGTTTAGTTTATCAGCAACATAGAAGGCACTCCCTCTCCTGGGGGCTGAGTGCACTGCCTATGTAGTCCTTTCAGCTCCTACCACTTAAAAGAGAGATTATTTACACTCAAAATATGCTCCTTGCTTTCCAAACAATAAAAAATAGGGTACATTTTTTAAAAGAAATCAGCTGACCCTATAGCTTACGTTCTATTTTTAAAAGTATGTTAGACCTTAAGAGCCTTTTGAAAATAGGATGCTGTTCCTAGATTCTTTATAGGGTACGCCATCTTTGGTAATGACTTTGGATTACTCTTTAGTAGACAAGTGTCTGATAAATATTTCAAGCCTTGATCTAAACTTTATTTCTATAGTAAATTAAAAGGATGCTGCAACCTGCAGGAGAGAAGTTAAAGTATGGCTTTTTCTTACCTATCACACACCTGTAAGAGGATTGGCATTACAAAGGACTCAGCTAAGTCTAGACCTTGATCTGACACACAACAAATCTACCAGCTGATATATGAGATAGTTTGTATTTTTTTAAAAGGAAAAACCACTGAGTTATTTTCCAGTCTACTAAGGTGCCACACGAAAGGTAGAAAAATAAAGAATCCAAGGAGTAGGAACAATCCCATGCTCTTCAACAGTTCACAAAACATGGTTATTTTAGTCAACAGGCAGGCAGAGTTTATTTTGCAACAGAAGAGAATCATGGGTTAAATGCAATTCTGAAGTAATTCCACTGATTTCAGGATGATTTAGTTCAAGGTGGTGTTTTCTTTTTAAATATATGTTCCTAGGTGTATTTGTTAGAGTTTCTTTCACAGTACAGGTTGTACCTCCCTAAACTGGGACTCTGGTTTGACAACTGGACCATGGATGTTTCTGGACAAGAGAGCCCTGGGCCAAGGTGGTCTGGTGGTGGGGTTAGGAGCTGCAGGAGGGCAATGGTCCAGTGGCATGGCTGGGAGCCTCACAGCAGGGTGGAGGCAGTGGTCTGGCAGTGCAGCTGGGAGCCTTGCAGTGGCAGGGAGGGGGCAGAATGGTGGCATGATCAGGAGCCCCACAGCATGGGGGTTTGGTCAGGGCCAGCAGCAAAGCCACCTGGAGGTAGGGGGCTGACCAGGGCTGGAAGTGGAGCTGGCGGTCTATTCAGGAAGCCATTTTTTAAACTGGCTCCCCTCATGGACCGGCTCCCACCTGTCACCCCTCATTGTTGCCTCTAACAGAGAGGCAGCAGCACAGGCTGGCAGAGGGTTCTTGAGGAGTGGGGCTGGGAGTGCTGCCAGCCCTCCCCCTACTATCAAAAGTTGTGTAATCACTGAAATTTGATGCAGTTACTTGACTATTCAATTACATGCTATCTAATATCCCTACTTCCTGGTCCAGCAAATTTCCTCATTAGGGACTGGTCAGGTCCAACCTGTAGTATTGCCATTTCATGATCAGAGATTGATTTTCAAGCGAACAACTCATTGAGCTGAATGGAAGAAACAGTTTGCACCTTTGTTGCTGATGCTACTGTTTGTCTGCAGACAGTTTTCTGCAATGCTGGCTTAACAGGGCAACAGCATATTGATTTACACGGAGAAGGCTAGTAGTACCGCAAAGTGCCCTAGCAATTTCCACACCCTGTTCCTCTACCCTAAAAGAAGACGCTTTAAGTTCTGCAGAAAAAGGCAGAAATTGCAATAAGACACAACCTGTTGGACATGCCATTCTGGAGCTCCTGCGATTGGTGATACTCAGCGCTATATAGGAGACCCTCGCAATCGCTGTTTGAGGTTCCGCATATTCACAGGAGTCTCCTGGCCTGGCCTGGGAGATGGGGACCGGGAGCCACAGTGAGTTCCCCATCACAGCTCGGAGCCATGGTGAGTTCCCCATGCCTGCCCAATGCCACAGTGAATTCCCCACAGCTTCTTGGCAGCTGCAGTGAGTTCCCTTTGGTGAGTTTCCCATGACTCTCGGCCCCAGGGTGAATTTGGGAGCTGCAGCTCCCAGTATGTGTGAATTTCATCATTAGCAGTGGTGCCAGGAATGCATCTAACATGAATGGCGAGAATTTCCTGTATTTGAATTCAGTGGAAAAAATGTACAGGATCTAAAATTCCTCCTTGACGTATATCCACAACTATACATTTGCTTAAATGAAACTGGATGCTGGGAAAAGTTTCTATTCAACAATATGCATAAGGTATGCACAACAAAACTCTACCTATGCATGTACAACCCTGACACAATGGGAGAATTATAATACCCTATAATACTAATATTATAATTCTGATAAGGATTACGCAGGAAAGCTGACCACAAAAACTTTGATTATTTCCCTCGATATTGACTTGAAAAGCTTTGGTTATGCCAGTCCTTGAGAGTTCTTGAATGGAATGTGCCTGTTTGGCTACAGTTTGTATTGTAAGGTAACTAAGTATTTATTAACTAAAACTGATTGGCTGGCATAACCTTAGAGATGACTTCATGCCCCATGTTTATATCTGATGAAATTTTGGCTGCATCAGATCTCACCTTGAGCAGTGAGTGCAACGTGAGGGAGTTCAGATTAAAATAAAACGTTCAGAGGGCTGGAGAGATGGAAGAGCAGATTGAAAGAGTTAAATGTGCTGTGCATGGACTTGCTGAAGAGAGGTCTACAAATATCTGAATGATGTAAACACTAAGGAGCGAGAGGTAACATTTAGGATGATTGAAATGTTTAAGTTTAGGGTAATAGGATAAAATTAAATAAAGAAAAACAGAATAGAAGAAATTTTCTTACAATTAGACCAGGGTGGGCAAAAGGGCCTCCGGGGGCCGGATCCGGCCCGCCAATCAGGTCCTGGGGGTGGGAGGGAAGCACACAAAGTTTCCTTCGCTCTGCCTCCACTCTTCAAAGAGCACATGGTGCTTAGAAGTGCCACATGCTCCTGGCAGGGTGGGAGGAGACTTCATATGCTCACCTACCCCCAAGCACTGATTGGTTTGGGGGTGGGCGGGGGGAAGCATGCAACATTTCCTCTACTCTGGCCCCTACCCTGCAAGGAGCGCATGCTGCTTAGAAGTGCCATCATGTACTCCCTTTCCCCACCCCCCAGCCCTGACTGGCCTGGGAGTGGGGGGAGAGGGGAGAATGTACAAAGTCTCCTCCTACCCCCCAGGGGCATGGGTCCTAGGGGGAACCTCTGGGGGAGGCAGGGGACAAAGACTTCACTCACTCACTCCCCCACTGCCAGGCTAATCATGGTCTGTGGGTGGGGAAGCAGGAAAGAGTCCTGGCCCTGGCCCTGCCCCTTCTAGGGCATCCCGGAGCCAGTTCAAAAATTTCTGAAGTGTCCCTTTGTAAAAAAATTATTGCCCACCCCTGAATTACACAGTATAAGTTGAACCTCTCTAGTCCAGCACTGTCTAGTCCAGCAACATCTGTGGTCCAGCATGTTTTTAGTTAGCTGGATGTCCACTTATCATGGGTGCGGCCAAGTTTCCCAAAAATCCCATAAAGTTTGTTTACAGTCATGGCTCTCAGTGTTCTGTGCTGTTATTTAGCTCTAATTTACCCCTAAATGTACATTAAAAAGGCAAATAAAAAGAGATGTGTATCTTTCATTCCAAGGTTGACCACACATCATTGTTCTGCTAGGGACTTGTAGTTAATTATAACATTTGCCTGTTTCAGTGTAGCCAGCCAGCTGGCTGATGAACAGCCACATTATGGCATTAATTCATTCTGAACCACAGCCCTTTTCTATTGCAGTTCTTGTCCTCCCCGCATGGTAAAGGGATTTAATAGGTTGGGCTCTACTGCTGCCTCCCAAGTAAATTGTGCAAGCTCTGACAAATACCAAAAGAGGCGGCATTTCAAATACCAGATAGCATGAGACCAGGATATGAAACATTGATATACTGAATGCTTGTGTATGCAACATTCATTATAGAACTACCATTTTGATGCTGGTTTTAGCGGCAGTTAGGAGGAGTTTCTTTAAGTTACTAAAGAGTGCCTATCCAGGAACAGGTAAAGGAAAGTCAGAGAAGAGGCAGAATGTGGGGCTAGGTCTACACTCTAGCCTTTTTTCAGAAAAATCTACGCAAATTGCGCTCCCCAATTACCGTAGCTTTTTGCGATTGCTTTTCTGGAAGAGGCTTTTCTGCCTTTTGGCTAGACAGGGCCAAATGGCAGAAAAGCCGCCTCTTTCAGAGGAGCCTTTATTCCTCATAGAACAAGGTAGACAGGGCTCCCCGAAAGAGCATGTTAGCTCTTCCGCAAAAAAAAGTGGAAGAGAAAACGCGTTCTCTGGATGCAGCGGAGTTTTTCTGGGATACTGGAGGTATTCCGGAAAAATCCAAGAGTCTAGATGTACCTTAAGGCTGGTGCATCAGAAAGTCAGAGTCACAGAGGCTCAGAGTTAAAGACCTGTACAGACCCCCGAAGTGAGACCACCAATGCTACCCACACACTAAACCCAGTAACAGTATATACACACTGTGCAAAATGATGAAAAACTTTTTCAAAAGAACTTCTCTCAATTGCCAAATTCTGTACATCCCAAAAGTGTTTTCACACAATTCTTCCTTCTAACACTATGGCAAGAGTCACAGAATCCTTCATCTGCTAAACCATGTCCACAACAGAAAGAATGGAGTCTTGATTTTTGGTTTACAAACCTAGTTATTCTATTATATTTTGTTTTAATAAATACATATTTAAAACAGTTTACAAGTTTTACCAAAGGAAATAATAGTGGAAATTATCTAACTTCTGCATTTGTATTATTCAAAGTATTTCTTAGTGTAAGTACAGCAAACACAAGCTAATACGACAAATCCTGAGGTAAACAGGATATCTATTTATCTTTGCTAAAGTTGCAACTTTTTTGAGTATCACAACTGTAAGCAATGCTACATTTCTTTAAAGACCTAATCTGAAATTTAAAATAGTGTTTATAATAAATAAAAACAGTAACTCTTCATCTGAAATACTAGAAGAGATACTTGTTTGTAAACTTTATAAAAGGGAAGTTTTGTCACATTTGCATACAAGGTGTTTGGACCAACCGACTAAGATGTGGGTAGTATCCAGAACAGCCACTACTCTAATTTCAGCACTGAAAAAACTCTTGTTAAAAACTGGAACTAAAATTGCATTAAATCTTGATCCACTAAAAATAATTGATTAGATTTCCAAATGACTGTCACTTCCATCATTGCATGCAGTGTTGTGGCCATGCTGGCTCCAGGATATTGGAGAGACAAGGTGGATGTTGGTGAGAAAGTCAAGCTTTTGCGCTGACACATAAGAAGAGTGCTGTGTAAACTCAAATACTTGTCTCAGCTGCCTCATCACTTCCACTGTTAATTACCCTGATTGCTAATATCTTTTGAAAGGGGAAGACGACTTCCTGGTCACTAAAAGCAATACTATGCTCTAGTTTCATGCAGCTATACAAGAAGAGAGTCATTTTGAATACTGCATACAGACGTGGTCGCCTCATGTAAAAAAAAGATATATTGGCACTGGAAAAGATTCAGGAGAGGGTAACAAAAATGATAGGGGTCTGGAATGGGTCCCATATGAAGAGAGATGAAAAAGACTGGGACTTTTCAGATTAGAAAAGAGCAGACGAAGTGAGGATATGATAAAGGTCTATAAAATCATGACTGGTGAGGAAAAAGTGAATAAGGAAAAGTTATTTATTTTTTCCCATAACATAAGAACTAGGGGGTCACCAAATGAAATTAATAGGGAGCAGGTTTAAAACAAACAAAAGGAAGTTTTTCTTCATGCAGTGCAGAGTCAACCTGTGTAGCTCCTTGCCAGAAGATGTTGTGAAGACTAGGACTTTAAAAGAGTTGAAAAAGAACTAAGTAAATTCAGGAAGGTTAGGTCCGTCAGTGGCTAATGGCCAGGTTGGGTAGGAACAATGTCCCTCTTTTTGTCAGGGGCTGGAAATGGATTACAGGAGAGGGATCACTTGATGATTACCTGCTCTGTGCACTCTCTCTGGGGCATCTGGTATTGGCCCCCTGTCAGCAGACAGGATACTGGGCTAGACAGACCTTTGGTCTGACACAGTGTAGCCATTCTTATGTCCTTAAGTTTTTCCACTCAGCCATGCATAGTCCCCGTCAAGCTTCTGGGAGAAAGCCAGAGAAGTACAGCCATGTTTCTATTCTCCCCTTACACCAGTCAACAGAACTGGCAGGCATGAGGAGAAAGGGAAGAATTCTTCATCCCCAAAAGGAGTGAAAGTAAATTACTTCCCAGAAGCTGTGGCAGGAATGGCCTAACCCAATGGTCCCCAACATGGTGCCTGCTGGTGCGGGGCATTTGTGTGCACCCACCAAGTGCTTGGGGCTGGCCTGGCCCCGGGCACGTGGCGCATGCATGGTGCCGGAGCCGGCCCCAGGCACATGGCGCACGGTGAGCGCCGGTCCCGGGGGCGCCGCGGATTGACCGCCCGCGCTCTGGGCACGCGGTGCATGGGGGGACC